TAAAAATGATGGGTTTTATTCATCAGCAACTTTTCTTTTACTCTGCTAATAAGTTCATGAGAATGTGGTAGGACACCATTAATTGAAAGCTGGTTTACATGCATTGAAATTCTGAAGAATAATACACTTTGAAAAATAACACACTATTAGTTACCTTGCTTAGTCAATTAGGAACTGGTAAGTGTAGTATGTGCTGTTGGGATAAATACTTACACACTGTAGTGTCCAAGAGTTAGTTACTCAAAGCCATAAGTCTCTTTAGTTGTATAGTTGTTTCTATGCACTTTCAATAGATTGCTGACTTTCATGTTGTGAGGCCAAAAAACTTGACCCATTTTCCTCCTCCTGTTTGCTAAATTAAATCCTGACCAAATTTTAGAATACAGCATATATACACTTGCAAATAAATATTTACTCCTCTTTTGAGAATATAAATGTTTTGCTCGTGTTTGTCTTCCCTAAAACTCTCCAAAAGGAAAACAGGTTATCAAGATAGAAGTCATTCCAATTCTGCTGCAGTGATAGATGCCCTTCAGTGCTGACTAGTACAGTAAAAGTCTGGAAATCTTGATTTTTAATCCTGACGTGATACTTGTTACATGGATTATAAAGTCACTTTAACTTTTTTAACTTACTGTCCTATCTGATAATTCCACTCAATATTTGTTGAGATTTATTATTCTTTTGAAAATTAAAAAAAAATCAAAAAATGGTTGTTCATTTAGAGAAGACCATCACAGGTAATTTTCAGATTTTCAGTGATAACCTTATAGATCTCACAAGAGTAGAAAATATTTCTAGTGAGAACAAATATTTATCTTGTACCTATGGATCCAGACATAAAGCTCAAACTATCTCAGAAAGAATTTTACTGTTCTTTAGCTTTCCCTGTCTTGCACCAACTTTTCATACTGTCTTTGATACAAATGAATGTGGAAACAGTATACATATGAAGGCAAGGTTTAATACTAATATTCTATCTTGACAGGAGCGATAAAAACTGGGAGGCTATGCCTCATTGTTTAGTGACAAAATTAATGACTATTATTATCCATCTTTCTCTTCACCTTTATTTGCATCTACATCTTGAGTACTGTGAACTGAAAATTAAACTTAAAAATTAGATATTACATAGAAAGATGTAACTTTCTAACAAGTTCTGGATTGTAATTTTAATGTACTGGACGTTTAGTTGGAGTTATTTTTTAGATTACCTGAGGGATACTTGAGGTGAGAGCTGGAGAGAAAAACAACACCTATAGCTCTCATGATGTGATATATGAGACTTCAACGATCTAAATTATTGGCACCACTAGTTCTGTAGATTACCAGAAGTCAATAGTGTCAACATCCATAGGTACTAACCAGGGACAATGAATGCTTTCACTGTTAGTAACTTGAAAAATCTCGTACTGTTTTTTTTCCTAACCTGTACACTTCTATAAAATAGATCTGTTTGAGAATCTACTGTCAGCCTTAAACATGTACGTGAAGATGGGTACAGGTCTTGGTACTACTTCAGTTAAGAAAAATTCATGAAAAAGGCCCTTTTGATTCTTTGATGTATAAGATGTCCTGTTACTTTTGTTCTTAGGCATGCTATGATGCCTTCTAACTTGTACTAAGTCGATCAACATAAAATGTATTGAATTATCTGTTGTCTGCTAGCCTATGGTGATTTTTTTTTTGCTAGAAATGTCTAGTCACATCTTACACTGTCCTTTCACTGACTTGGTTCTGTCTTCCATTTTTTTACTTATTAGTTGTAAGAATTGGAAGCTCTGTGTTAAAATGAGAGAGGTAGTGACAACAGAGAAGGAAACTTGTAAAAAACACAGGAAACATAAGAAAATATATGTCCTTTTGTAGTCTTACAATTAGATTGAGGCTTTTTTATGGGCTAGCACAGAGGCTAGAAGGTACGTTGTTTAAGAATTCTAAGTGATAGAGTGAGTACCCAAAATTAAGTGGAGTTTGGACACGTGGGGGGAAATTTCCAGTCCATGGCATGGGGAGAGAAGGTTAGTCAATCTCTTTTTATCAAGATTCTCAAAAGTGTTTCCAAGCAAATAGTTATATTGCTGTACTTAGCTATCTTTTCATAGAGTCTATTATTTTCACAGATTATGGGAGCATTTTAAAGAGACTAAACATCTGTGCTATAGCATTAACCATTTTGCATAGTCTCACAAATATTTAGTGCTCTTTTGACCACTCTTTAAAATCTCAATAAATCATAGCTATGCTCAAATGTGGGAAACTCCTAGAGAATCCCAAAACACAAGCCTTTCATGGCAGATACTTGAATAAATAGGAAGAGTAGATATTTCTTGTTCAAGTGCTTCAAGTAGTGTCTATATCTGTGCAGTACTGCAGTCTATGGCCTCATCTTACTATTTCATCTTACCATGTGTAGGATCCCAAAAATCAAATACCTGCAGAAAGGTTTTTGTCTCAGCGGTCTCAGCAAAAAGCCTTGGGCTACGAAAGCTGCGGAAAAAACCTCAGTTTGAGGACCAGAAAAGATATCACCAGTTTGGAACGTCCTGCCCAGACCCAGAGAGACTGTACTCTGATTTTATCAAGCCTCTGCATAAAATCCATTGTTGTTTTCTCCCTCCCTGTGTATCCTGTGTATTATGTAAACTTGAATATCTCTCCCCCATGTAGATCCCCAAAAATGTAATCCTAAAATAAGTGGTTTTTCCCTATGATGTAATTCCTAAGACCCCAAAAAGTGTAATTTGGGTTTTCCCCTTACTTCATCCCCTGAGACCCCCCACTTGTAATAAGTTCAATCCCCTATTGTAAACCCCAGACCCTAAAATATCCACTTTTAAGTCCAATAAAGGATTCCAGATTCTGCCTCCAACTGGGATCGTGTTAATTTCATTGACTCCCACAACCATGAGTGCTCTCCCTGGTTTTTCCCTTGGTTTTCTCAGCATTTGTAAGACCCGCTCTTCTACAAGATTTAAGCAGCATAAAGAGTAGTATTTTGAATCAAAGCACAGAACCAAATGTTGGGACAATTATCTTCCTTCTCTGATATTTGGGGTCTTTTGTCTATTGCAAGTAATTTGGGTGTACATATTGTTATTAAAATTACCAGAGTGTTAAGAAGGTTCCACATAAATTGAGCTCTTCTGATGCCATAGCCATTTTGTGTTATTTTAGGTATCTTGATGGATTTTACTGAAATACTCAGGAAATTACTTATTCGTTAATAAGATATTTTTATACTATTTTTTCTTAAGTTATGTGATTTTTGAAGCCTTGTAATATAGTAAAGAAGGTTTTGATTTACAAATAATGCAGTAAAAAACATAATGAATATTGAGAGTCTGTTGGAAACCCCTTTCCTTGTGCACTTGTACCAGTTGCTAAACATCAGTCAAAATTAGGCTGCCTAACTAAAAAAAAAACCACAAAAAACCAAAACCCTTTAAAGCTAATTTAGCTTCTTTTCTAGTGCAAAAGAACTATCTGTACAGAAAAGAAGCAAGGGAAGGAAATAAAACTAAACATATACAATGCTATCTCCAAATATGCTAGAGTGAAGATGAAACACCGGGTACCCAATCTACCTTTTAGGGTTCATTTGTATTCACTGACTGCATAATCAAAAAGAAGTGTAAATAAAGAACCTTAATCAAACAAATAGGTTGATTTGCTTAGGATCTTACTCTGACAGAAAAAATATTTATTCGAACTTGTCCACAAGCCTTAAAACCTCATTATATTCTAGTGTAATGTCCTGAGATGGAAATTAAGAAGTAATTCTCAGGAGTTTCCCAGTCTTTGCTTATTCTTCAGGCTTACTACTCTTGTGTGATTTTCAGCCACCTTTATCCTGTACTCTGGGAGTTTCTTCTCGCTGAACATGTTCAGTGGCTTTCAGATAAAGGATATGTTCCTCAGTGTCTCCTCAGTAGACTCCATCTGATCATGGAGCAGCAGCCAAGACCAAGGATAGAGGCAGGTCTTCTTTCTGCTTTCAGCCATCAAACACTTTAGGAAGAATAGAACACAAAATTCATAACTAACTGTCAACAATAAAATGAATACTGCTTTTTTGACAAAAAATGTTCTTTTGGTTCCAATAGAAAGCAAACAGTTTGTTTTTTTCATTTAACCAGGATTGTTTTCTTTGCTTTTTCTTTTTTTGCACTGCAAAATTTTAAGTGTTGCCATTATTGGAAACAACATTATGTTTAGATATGTTAAACTCTAGCTGAGAGTATCAGTCTTGACCTTAGAATTTTCTTTTCACAAGTTTAATTTGAGAATAAAAACAGTGATGCAGTAATTTGAAACTTATACAGGAAGTTTACAACACCAAAAAAAGTATCATAGTATACACCTCCATGCTATCAGGATTGAGCGACAGTCGGAAAAAATTGTTTGACTTCTCTTTGGGGATGTTTGAATCTACCAGATTTTGAGCTAGAAGGTAGTTTTCTATCAGCTAACTTTGTGGTGGGCTCACCCTAGATGGCTGCTAAGTACACACAGCCACTCCCTCAACTCCCACACCTCTATCACTAGCAGGATGGGGGAAGAGAAATAGAAAAGTAAAACCAAGAAAACTGGTGTATCGAGATAAAAATAGTTTAATAAGTGAAGAAGGGGAAGGGAAGGGAAGGGAAGGGAAGGGAAGGGAAGGGAAGGGAAGGGAAGGGAAGGGAATGTATTTTGAATGTATTTTGAATGGTAAAGGAAGTCTACAGGGAAGGACACACATCAAGATGATTTTATCTGCCAGAAGGCTTCAGGGAAATAGGGCCTGTTATTGCAAGTGGAATCTAGTATAAACCTTCAGAAAGATTATTTTTCTTCCTAGGTTCACAGACTAAAACAAACTAACAAACCACCCCCAGCAGTCCATACCTGAAATTAGGTCTCTGCTGGGACAAGCTGGATATCTCAATACACTTTGATTAGCATTTCTAAATGGTCTTGATGATCTTAGAGGTCTTTTCCAACCTTAACAATTCTAGGATTCCAGAGTTTGTCCAAGTGTGGAAAACTATTTCTTAATTTGTCTCTTCATTCCTTCTCTGTCATTATATAAATAACTGCTGTGTCTTTATGGAAAAGGTTGATATGGGAAAATCTGAATACAATCTTTAGTTGAAGACCACAACTTTGTAAGTAGATGTTCTTATCCTCTAGATATGTGACTGGTTTTAAGCAATTTCCTTCGGGGGAATCAAGCACTGGAAATGCATATGCTCCATGAACTTAAGCAGAAATTAAGACCATTTCTATCTTTGATTACCTTTTTGGTGGCTGTCAGCCCTCACTTTTATTATAAATGAGGGCCTTACTCTTTCTGATCCTGTGATCTTATAGAAGTCACAAACTGAGATATTCAGGTGAAAATATCTGCTATGCAAATACAGTTGCAACTTATTATTAATGTTTTAAAGAATATTAAATACAGAAATTAACCAAAGAATTATAATTAAATTATTTAAAAGATATTGCTAGGTTTGTGAAGGGTATTTTTTTTCCATTTAAAAGGACAGAAGTGCATCTGATTTTATGGGCTACCCTATAAAGAAATTAATAATGTTTTGGAGGACAATATGATGTGAAAACACAATGTTTAACCTCGCTTCCTTTAATCTTTAGAAAAAAAACAAATTCATAGTTCTTTTCTGCAGTATGACTTTTTTTAAAAAAAGATTGGGCATTAAAATGGATTTTATTTATATATTAAGATTGTGTGAACTTTTTCAAAATTCTCCTACTACTGACAATTTTCAAATATGCTATACCTGTAAAGGTAAATTCAACCTACTTTCTATTTTCTTCCAAGAAGAATATTCTTTCAAAAAAAAAATCAGAAAAACTAGTAGAGACCTTTGCAAATAATAAGCTTTTGTAATTTACTGATGAGATACATATAGTATCAAACCTGTCATTGCATTAGGAATGAAAAAAAATTGCATAGATGTATTTGAAATAACTAGAATTAAGAACATGTAACTGAGATTATATGGATTAAACAGTAAGACTAGTTTTTGATTGAGTTTTTGAATTGACAATCCAAATACTAATATATTATTAATGTTCATCAAGCCAGTTAATTATGCTGTAGGATTTTTACAATATTGTGTATCCCTATGAAAGAATTTATGAAACTGAAGAAAATAAAAAAAATTCATTATTTTGGAGTAAGATGTTATTATATAGAAATTTTTGTAATAGGACCTTATCCAAATTGTAGTCTTAACAGATGGGATCTTGTTGGGGTTCCACATATTTAGTTATTTAGGACTTTAGTAAACAGTGATTTTATCCAGTCTGTGATTGGAACAGATGTGATCTTATCAGGGTTCCACTTTTTTTCAGGAGCATAAAATTGCCATGATTTGCTGTACAGTGCTATAGTTTACTTTTTGTGCTTTTAGAACCAGAGTCCTTTTTAGCCAGAATTTGCCCTTGGGTCCTAAAAACATCATAATAGGGAGTTAATGTTTTATTCTCTATTAATCCCATTAAATCCTTTTAATATTAGAGCATGTGTTGCTTTATAGCATTAACTAGTGTCTTGCACTCAACAGTATTTTCACAGTTTATGACACTGCTTAGGGCATTAACAAACAGCTGTTTGAATTAAATGAGCAGTTAAGGACCCTGTTCATTAACTCAAAAGTTTCATGTATTTTTAATTCCTTAAATCTAATGGTATTATCACCCTCCAAGAAATCTATCTTTGATTATAATTTGCTGTGACCAGTATCAGTTTGGGTGAGATGAGAGAGATTATTTTTTGACTATAAACTCTATCAGTGATGAACAACCTCAGTGAATCTGAACTGTCTTCTACCACTTTTAATCTTTTGGGATATAAAACTTTTAAAGTTGTTTACAGCAGTTGTGTTAAGATTTCTTCCAATTTTGTTTACTGATGACTTCATTTAGCTAATGTAAAGAGGCAGTTGGAACAGAATTATTTGCATTTGAAATGGTGCTATCAGAGGTTTCTGACTGACTCATTTAAAAAAAAAAGAAAAAGAAAATTGTATTTGGACAGTGACAGAGCATCTAATGGAGTGCTGTGTATCAAATGTACATGGGCACTTCACATTTTATACAAGACTTAGATTTGTAAGTCTTTATTCTACTTAGAGTATAAGTGGTTTAACTTCTCATTTTAACATGGATTCCGTGTGGTCTTTATTATGAAACAGAAAAAACATATTTTGAACTAAGGCCAATTCATCATTGCATGACTTCAATTTGGAAAAAATCTCTCATATTATAAATGTGTGTGTTTATATGTTCATGTGCACACAGATATTAAAGACTAATATTGCTTTAGTACATCTTTTAGTAGTGTATTTTAGAATTATGCACTTAAGCTTAAATTCTATGCATTCAATAGGATTACTCATTCCACTAATTTAAACATGTGGCCAACTGTCTGTGGGACTTGAAACAGTGTGTCAATTGTTTCATCCTATTTTAATTCTTAAAATATTCCTGACTATTCAGCTTCACAAAACCAGAAATTCCTAATCAAGCCTTCACTGAAAATAAAATAATTCAGACATGGAATGCTTCACACTAGATTTTAATATTATTTTACTGTTTACTTAGTCCTCACCTCAGAGAGCACCTGTAACACACATTCAGTTTTAAGCGTGAAAAGGCTTTCTAACAGAGAGTAGTAGTATAGTTTAGTATTTTTTTAACTCCAAGCATATTTAAACACTTTCTCTCACACTGAGGCAAAAGATTAAGGTACCAATGAAACCCTGGAACAGTGTGGCCTAAGTTGTGGATACCCCACGCCTCAAATGTTCAAGGTCAGGTTGAAAGGGGCCCTCAACAGTCTGATCTAGCAAAAGGTGTCCTTGCCAATGGCAGGGGAGTTGGAACTAGATGATCTTCAAAACTTTCTTCCAACCCAAACCATTCTATGGTTCTATCAAAGTGCTGTTTTGTGGTGCAGATAGTCTATACTATCAGCAATAGCTGAACTGTGTTGCTTCTCGAAAATACTGCAACAGCCAGGAATGCGTATCACTGAGTGATGAATCTTTTCCTCATATCAACTCCTCCAATTCCTGTATTTCAGTTCACTCCCTTCAGTCCAACTATTCACATTCATGTGAAGCTCTAAAAAAATATCCTTTTAGTTAGAATAATGTCTCTAGAATTACTCTTAGCATAAATATACATAATAATAAGTATCCTTAGGATACTTGTACCTTAAACTCTCCAAGGATTATTCTGCTCTTACATTATTTCTATTGTGACACATTCTTCTTCAATCCTTGCTAAGTGTACCTTTTCTCAGGAGAATCCTCGGGACATTTGAATGCAGATCGAAGGTGGTCTTTCTAACAGCTAAATCACTCAATGTAATTATCATTGCAGATTTCAGCTGCGAAGGCCAGGATATTCACAGAGACGGAAGGACTGTACAAAAGGTCTTGTCATGACAAGGGTGCAAAGAGGGAATAAACTAGCTGTAATACAAAGCTGTCCAGTCCATCCTAAACCTTAAACATTGGATTTGGGTTCTTCTTACTATATGAATTGTAGCAGATCACCTTAGGCAATAAAAATAAGATGTGATGTTTTCAAAAGGAATGTGTATCCTGATGATTTTGGACTATGTAAATTTTAAACCAAGAAATGGTTTCAGATTATGCCAGAGGGAGTTTAGTTTGGATATTAAGTAAAATTTCTTCACCAAAAGGGTTGACAAGCATTGGAACAGGTTGCTCAAGGAAGTGGGTAAGTATCCCTGCAGGTATTTAAACAACATGTAGTGTGCCACTTAGGGACCTGGTGTAATTAGTGGACTTGGCAGTGCTGAATTAACAGTTTGACTAGAAGATCTTAAAGGTCTTTCCTAAGCTCAATGATTCCATGATTCTATGCAGAAGAGTAGTGAGACTTTCTCCACCTTGAGACAACTGATCTCAAATAATAGATCTCTGCCAACATGAGTTAGAAGGTTCTGGTACTTTTTTCTTTCAAAGTCAATTTAAATGATTCCATGTTGCCAAATAGACCTATGCATGCCTTTTCTCCCTTTCTTTTTCTCATTAGAATGGATACCACGCAGAGAAGTGATGATAATTCTACTCACTCATTCCTGTGAAGGCTGCCATTCGCTCAATTCAAATTATAGCTGTTGTTGGAAAGGCCAGCCATGAGTTACAGGTAGTTTCAGCTTGTCTAGCTCTTTAAAATGTTTTTGAAGTCAAGCAAATTATTCAAAATACAAATATCAACATATTGTAGTTTCAAAAAGAAATCTGCTGACCAAGTACAATAAAATACTTGATTGAGATTTACACATAAAGCGTAAAGTTTCACTCTTTCTTTTGTCAGTATGATGTATTCTTCAAATTCAAAAATGATGGGTATTAAGTGATGACTATCTAAAAACTGCTTAATTTTTGAAGAATGTACACAAAGAAGGTGGGGTTGAATCCTTCACTCCATATTACAATTATTATGTTATGTTTAAACTTTATGAGAAAGTGAGGTGAATGTTATAAATTGAATTTATTTTTTATAAAATGAATGTTTCTTGGAAATGTAGTTTATTGAATTTTCCCATTTTATCTTTAGATAGAATAAGGAAGAGTCATGTAGACAGAATAAAAAAAAATGTGATGAGACCTACTAGACATATTCACCAAGAAACTTGAAGGAAGAGAAAAAATGAATCTCATCACTGGCATCACTATGATGTACTTGATCCCACCACCATTAATAGAATGTTATAGACTGGAAACAGAAAATTCACACTGAGGAAAAAATAAATCTACCACGAAGTCCAGAAAGTTGGTCATCTTAAAAAAAGAATTGACGAAAGTGCAGTTTTGGGGGATGGGGGACGATGGAGAGACTGAATTTTCTAGCCTTCCAAAGTAGCCGGGATGTACACAATTTTTATTAATATGCATAATCTAGAATTGCTGTAAGGAGACAGGTTTCATTTATTTTTATTTTTCTTAAGAGAAGCACTTTTCTC